AAAACCCAGCCGCACTGAGGGCAGAGGCAGGGAGCGGGGAGGGAGTCCTGACGTGGGAGCGTCGCCGGAGAGCGGGGAGCTGTGGTTAATCTGTGTCTGGTGCCAAACGCTGAGCAGCACAGCGAGTGTTGAGCAGCGGAGCTGGATAGTGGCAGGGAGATGCCAACGGACGGCAGCGACGGACCACGAAGAGCGGGCAGAAGTCCTCCAGGGAGGATTTTATTGGTGGCCCTGCCTTTGGGCCATGCCCTGCCCTCCCTGCTGGAACGGCACAGAGAGCTCAGCGAAATTTTTCTCCTCTGGTTGGTTCCGACAGGTGTGGAGGGAGGAGATTAGCTCCTCCGGCTCCCCTTGTTGCTAAGGGGTGGCATTTGACCTGGCAGCAGTTCATACCGAGGTATTTGCAAAAGGGTTAAAAATTGTGAAAAAAAAAGGCAGTGAAAACATGGTATGGTGAGGAACATGCACACCCTCTTAGAGTGAACCTTAACTGTCTGTGATGTTGCAGCTATTTTCACCTGGGTAATAAGAGCAGAACATGTCAGGAAGGTGAGGTTTTCCAAGAACATATTTATTTCCATCTTGTGTGACCAGATTTGGGAGGAGTTCACTGCCCCGGGCTCTCCTGGTTCTTCTGGCATGTGCTGCTGGAGCTGCACAACTGTCTGGTGCAGTTTCCTGGGGGACCTTCTGGGTGGGTGGAATGTGGTGGGAGAGCAGAAACACAGCAGTGCTCAGCTGTTTGTGCTTTGTCAGAGAAAGATTTTGTCTCTTGGGAAATTGCTGGAATTGTTACCGAAAATCTGGAATAAGAAACTTATCAACACCAATGGGATGTAGATAAGCAGACACTTCTTTATTGCGGCGCCGGGTGCATGGGGGATATCTCCTCCTAGCATGCACACCTTGCACTAAAATTAAACTTCTTATACAGAGCTTACATATGCAAATCTATGAGGTAATCATACATAAACATATTATTTCTCAAAAATCATTAGCATATTCTCCCATTTCCGATTCTGCGCAATAAAAGAATCATCTAGAAATGAGTCTGGGGTGTAATATGGGTAGGTGGTCTGTGAGTCGGTGGTCACGATCTCCCCCTGCCGGAATTACCTTTCGCTTAAGTTCACGGTTTCTGGCAGGTACCCATAGACCATTACAAAACCGTTACGGTTGGCTTTCTTCATTTTCATTAATCTAGACCTTGATAGCTGCATGCGTTCTTCTAGTTCTCTGTAGGTATCATAAATCAGTTTACAAATCAACTTGTGCTTTGTACTACATGTTCTTACTAACTGATTCTGACCTATCCCTTTGATTCAGGTACAGGGCTATACAAGGAGTTTCACAGCAGCATGTGATTACTGTACGAGCATACTTTTCATTAAAATATTTCTTATAATTCTATATTATTAAAATCAACTACAAACCATATTAATTACAAACTATTGATTAATTTTTAATTACCAACATTCTAAGTATCAGTAACATTAAGGGGGGGCCTTCCCTGGAAGGGAAGTATCTGTTGTTTGGGGTGGCTTCTTGCAGAGGAGATTTCTGCCGGAGCGTGAAGGCAGGACGGTCTTTTGGTTCCATAGTGCTTCTTCAGCCGCAGTTCTTGCACAGGAGCAGCATGTCTGCTTGTGCTGGATGTCTCTTTCTCAGAGAGAGCAACAGGCGTTGAGATCAACAGGCATTCTTTTTCCCTTTCTGGAAAAGATTTTGAAAAAGCAAGCTGTATCATCTCAGGCTAGGCTTAGGATAGTGTTAGACTGGTTAGGTTTTGTTCAATTTGCAGCTGAGAGTACACAAGCACATCCACTCTTTAGCAAGGAAGCCTCACTGGACACCACTTGGAAAAGTGTTCCTTTGGCAGTGTCTTCTTTTTGCTTCTTGTTCTTATTCAAGATGACTCTCCCCTACTCTTCCAGTAGAGTTGCAAATAAGAGTAGATGCTGGTAGCATTAGAGCTGTTAGAAATGGCTTTGTTAAAATGATAACGTGCTCTGGGACTGACTTTTGTTGCCTTTGTGTGATTCAGAAAGGACCCAAAGAGGTGATAGTGCTGGTTCTTGGGAGTGCAGGTACCGGTTAGGAGCAGACACGACATGACTGTCATCTCAGTGATGCAACAATTGAATGGCTGCAAGAATAGAGGGTCGTGGGTATCTAGTTCCTAGAGAACTTAAATTCAGGTTTTATATTTCATGTCCCATATGTTGACAGAATTTGGCTCCTGCTGCAAAAAACAAAGTTATTGCTTTGGAACGTTCACAGTCCCTGTGCTGTTTTAGTCAGTAGCATCCTAGACACCTGGTGTCTTAACATTTATGATCTCCATTACTTACCCTGTTTCGGGTTTTGCCTTGCTTCTGCGGCTTTAGTTGAAGGCCTGAAGAAAAAAGAACAAATATCTGACTTTATAACTAGTCACAACTATTCACTGTGAACTACAGGTGTTTTCTTCCCAAGGGGTTTCAAGTTCTCCTAACACTTGGTGCAGTTTCTGTAATAACTAAATTTGTATCAAAGAGTGTGAGGTGGTTTGTCGTTAGGAGCATTTTTGTTTGGAGCTGTACATGATAAATTTCACTCACAAATGCATTTTTCACAAGAGCAGAACACAAGGGTTTCTGGTTGTGAGGTTTGGCTTAACCCAAATCCTGGCAACCTCACTGCAGGTTTTACCTGGTGTGGTTCAGTTCCCCTTGTGGACTTCTCCAAGGAGGAGGAGGGTGAGGCTTTAGCAGCCTCTGGCTATTGATGTTCTCTGCTGTCCCTTCCTTGGAGTTGTGCACACCTTTGTCAGTTCGTTCTGAGTAAATCCGCCTGGACACGAACTCCTTCTCTGAAATTGAAGGTAGCAGAAATGTTATTAAAGTTCTCACTTGCATCTCTGGATGTTTAGGGCTGAATTCAGGAGTCCCTTTGCCTGATTCTCCAAGGACTTAAGGACGTAAGAGGGACACACTTTGTTTGCTTTCTGCCTTCCCCCAGCCCACAGCCGCCCAGAGCCCCACTGGCAGAGAACGTTTTTCCACCCTGCACCAAACCGGAGTGCGCTGAGGTCCGAGTGACTGATTTCCCTGTTCGCTGTCCTGTCCCCTTCCTGCTCAGCGCAGCCACAGCTGGGCCAAGCACACTTTGCTGGATCCTGTTCCTCCCACCTCAGCAACCCCACTTGGTTCAGGTGTCTGAGAATTCCAGGGGTTTTCACAAACATACAAGAGCATGTGCTTTTCCGAAAGGGATGCAGACACATGTCTGTTACCTTCTGTACTCGCACTTGTGAACCATTGTTTGATCTCAGTAAGCGAATCTGTCTGTAGAACTTCGCCGAGTTTATGCAGCACCTGGAAAACGTGCAAGATAGTTATCCTTTAGGAAGAGAAGCTGATGGGCCACACCGTTTTTGCGTGTGTTTTAGTTTAGCTCTAGCTGGGTGAGTGTGCAGTTTTCCAACTCTGCAAATTCCGAAGCCTATGATGTCCCATCAGTTTTGCCACTTTGGACACCATCCTTTTTGTCCTACAGCACTCATGTCTCACCTTTATTTCCTCATCCAGGTAACTCAGCTCAGAATTGAACTCCTCCGGGATGTGAGGACCGTGATGCAAGTTGACGAATGGAGGGGAAGGCTGGCTGAGGGAG